CCAAAGCTGCTCACCAGCTGTTTGTGGTGGAGTTCACACCTCCAGTCTTCTCCAGGGGCCAGGAGGCTCTTGGATCCTGTTCAGTGTTTCTCCGTGATGAAAATCAAAATCAATGCGCCCTGTTCTGTCTGAGTGTGCGTGTGCAATCAGTGTAATTGAAGGGGAGCAGCATCCCCAGGCTGCCATTGTCTCAGCCCTTGCCTACTCAGCTGATTGCACCTGACCTCGACTCAGAGTTCATCCCTGTGGGCTGGGGAAGCTGCAGTGCATCACCAGCCATCACATCTGTCCTTCTGGAAGATGGAAAATGTTTATTTGCATAGCATTTCCTGACTCCACTGATCGCTGGATAGAGCTGATTGTGAGGGGGAATTTGTGCAACCTAGGTGGATTGGAAAGCAGCGCTGCTGTGATGGTCTGCTGACTGCCCTGCTTCCCTGTTTCTCAGGCTGGGGGGTCTCAGGCAGGATTATATGGCTGTGTTGGCTGGAGGGTAGCTGCTAACACTGTGGCACTTCCAGCTTTTACTGTATGATCCCAAGGAGAGGTTCCAAGACCTCTAAGGAAACTGCCTCTCAAAGGCTTCAGGTACGAAGGGCTGCTTCCCTTGTTCACCTCCTTTGTCTTTGCCTCCTTTGTTTTAGTAATGAGCCACACAAAGCAAACGGGTTTCAGGTAAAATCTGAGCTAGTTTCTGGTTTTGTCTGGTTGTTGACATCAGTCCATCCTCCAGCAGGACTTAGCTTTCATATTTGTGGGCTCCACACCAGTGTGAACTCATTCTTCCAATGCAAAACAGAGCTGGAGCAGAACATGGCTTTTATAAGCAAACAGTGCATTTGTATTGAAATCAGGCAATTAAGAATTGAGCTATTCTGCTGTAAAGCAGGGAATTGAGTTCTGTCAGTGCAAGCAAACCCCTTGAGAGCAGTCTGACTTTTCCTATTAATTTTGGCTTGCTCAGTTATCCTCCCTCTCTGATCTGTCGGAGACAAGTCATTGCATGTCAGACCTTTGGTGTGGCCCAGCACAGCTTATATTGTGTGAGTTGGAAAAGACCTTTAAAATCATAGAGTCCAGCCATTAACCCAGCATTGCCAAGCCACCATGTCCCCCAGTTCCATGTCTACATGTCTTTTAAATACCTCCACGGAGGTGACTCTACCACCTCTGTGGGCAGCCTGTTCCAATGCTTGGCCACCCTTTCAGTGAATGAATTTTTCCTAATATCCAAGATAAACCTGCCCTGGTACAACCTGAAGCCATCTCCTCTTGTTCTGCAGCTTATTACCTGGGAGCAGAGACTCTGTAGCTCCTACCTGGCTACCACCCCCTTTTTAGACAGATGTAGAGAGTCACCCCTCTGAGCCTCATTTTCTTCAGGCTGAAAAAACCCAGCTCACTCATCCACTTCTCACAAGACCCTCCACTAACTTTTCCCTTTGTTCTGCCCTCCCTTGTTATTCCAACTGTCTTATTTCTGTGGAGGTTTCCTGTGGTTATGGGATGTATGATAGTGGTGTGAGTGACCCCTCCTCAGCACACTGCTGGGCAGGGCCTTCAGCCCAGGGAACTGTAGTACCATGTTTATTTCTTAATCCACAGCAACACTATTACAGACACAGCAGTGCAGCTGAATTAACATTTGTCCAGCTGAGAACAGTTTGGCTCTCAATAAATAGAAGCCTTTTTATTTGTCATAACTTTGTGTGTGTGTTGAACAGGGAGCACCATGACTCACGATGGCAGGATCATGTGTAAGGGTGGCAGAGCTGCAGCAGCGGGGAGCAACACAAGTGTAGCTGAAGGGAAGGATGAGGACCTGTAGCAGGACCAGAAGCAGGCTGGGATTTTGTTTTAGGGTTAAGGTGAAATGACCAGGGGGTGGTTCTGCAAACAGTCAGCTCCAGCCTCTTAACCCTGAGTGGCCTTGTGCCTGCACTAAGGATCATGCTGAGCCAGTGGGAAAATGTGTGGGAAAGTGGCCAGCGCCCAACCAGAGCAGCCTGCAGCCAGACTGGCTTACACTGCCTAGGAAATCCCAGGCTTCCAATTTTTCACAGAACTGTTTGACTGTGTCCTTTGCATGTCTGCACATGATCTACATCTATACTACTCACCTCCAGCTCCTTCTGGGGACTTGTTCTTCCCTAAAAGTTTCAAGCAATTATAAAAAGAGATTTAGAGACAAATGCATGTATAGGACACTTTCCTTCCACCTCTCAGATTAATTCTCTGTCTTGCTCTTTAGATGAACAGCACTTCTGTGGTAAGACCATGCTCTAGAGGATGGACCGGTTTGAACTTGAACTCTTTACTCTTGAATACATAATGAAGCCTTCAGTGGGCCAGGGAAAGTGAGTGGTGAGAGCTTTGTCCTGGGGGATGAGTTCAGGCAGAGTGCTTGACTTGTAGCCCATATGGTTGCCTTCACTGCTGGGCTCATAGATTCTCTGAGAAGAGACCACATATGCCTCCCTGAGCTCCCTCTTCTTTCCCCCTCCAGCTAAAACTGAAAAGTCTCGGTGAAAATGCCACAGAACCTCATTATTACTCAGTGAAACAGGGCACTGCTTCTGGACAAGACTTAGAGTTAAAGCTGTGGTTTCTCTCTTTGTCATGCAAGTCGAGCAGTAGGAAATAGTGAGGCTTGCACATTTTGTGTAGCGGTAACTACGTGTTTAGCTGTGCTTTGCAATAATGGACAATATGGTGTTTTATGACTGCTGTATTCTTGCCTTTGAAGGAAGAAGAACTAATTGGAGACTTCCTTTTCTCCCGGTTGAAAAGGTCCAGATTTCCAGAGCACTGCACCCATCACGATTGGGTTCTCTCCCTGCTCTGTCAGAAGCCCTCTGTGGGTTCAGACAGCTGCTGAGCAGCCCCTTCCCCTGGCTAGTGGAAACAACACACTCTGTACTGTGTCTCAGTTATTGCCCTGGAATCTGTGGGGAGTGCAAACTCCTGGAAGCAGCTCTCTGTGTGCTGTGGGTGGTGGGGAACACAGCACTGGAGTGTTCCCTCTGACAGCCACACAGATGTCTGTGTGCACAGTTGAGGCGTGCTGGCTGGGGCTGACTTCAGATTATGTCTTTTCTGGTTTTAGACTAAGTTGCCAGTTTGTCTCAGCAAGGAACCTGCTTAATGACTCAGCTCATCCCTGTTTGCTCACTTGGGAGTCAAAAACCTTGGTGGGCAATAGAATATTTGGTGAGGCGTCTAATGGGCTGACTTTTCAGCCAGCTCCCACAACAGGCTAGCAGGATCCACAGAGCACTTATGAGCTTTAGCATCCTGGCACATCGGCCTTTCCTTGGGGATCCCATAAAGACACAGCTGCCTTCCCATTTGTTTCAGGCTCGTGCTTCTGGATGGTGCTTACCCCTGTGGCAGCTATGCACTGTAGCCCAGCCACCCTGCTTCTGGCAACTCAGACTTCAAAGCCCTCAGAAATGATGAGGGAAACAAAAATACCCATTCCTTCATGCTGTTGGTTTTCTGGGATGACTGCTAGCAAGTCAGACACACAGACAAGGACGGGCAAGTTCAAAGCCTTGCCATGCAGTTTAATCTTTCCTGCTTGTGGAAAGCTTTGAGTTCACCCAGGTGAGGGGCACAAAGTGCTATGGGAAATGGAGGTAGGGAGAGGATAAAGCTGGGATGGATAAAGATAACGATAAGATAAAGATAAGATGATAAAGACCAGAAGGGAGAAGGGCTCAGTGCTGCTTATTCCTTATACAGTGAGCAACCACTGCTGTTGGTGGCCACATGTCTTAGGCCTGCTCCCATGCCATGGGTAAATCTCTTGCTGGAAATCCCCAGAGTCCTGGGATAGGCGGGGATGGCTGTAGGAAAGCATTTCTCAAGGAGTTTTCCTGCCAAAGCTGCTTTCCCCACATCAGCAGCGCCATGGGAGCATGATCTGCCCACCAGCCTGGAGCAGTGACGTTGCATTGCATCTTTTCCTGACAGGGAAACTTTTTAGAGGGGTTTGATCACTGTGAAGCCATTTCAGAAAGCTGACAGCATTTGCTAATGCTGAGCTCATGCAGCCGTGCAAGTCATGAGTCACATTGTAAGCTGGTGGCATTTTTGTGCACCATGTCGGATCATCTGGGGAGAAGGAATGCCAGGGCCTGTTCAGGGAAGGGCTGCTGTATTATTTTTCTTACCAGCACTTTTTTTTCCTCCTTTTATCTCTTTGTTTTCTTACCTTTGTGATGACTTGCCTATTTCAGGCTGATTGCTCTTTCAAAACAGAGCCTTAGATGATGGAGAGTGCCAAGGGTTACTGATGGGGGATGCTGAGGCCATTCCTTCCTGAGCACTCAGGTATCCCAGGCCAATAGCAGACACTGCTGGGAGAATGGTTCACATTTCTGTGTGCAAAGCCAAGCTGTGAAGTGCTTCCCCCTTCACTGCCCAAGCAAGACTCTCAAGGAAAATTCTCCCTGAATCAGAAATGTCAGCCAGGCCTATGGGATTTTGCAGACAGAGATTAAGCTCTCTTTCTATATCTTCCTCACCAGAGTGAAGAGAAGCAGCCCAGGATGACCTGTATTAGACCTGAATGGAAACACAAAAGGCTCAGAGTGTAAAATGCTCCCAGACCCACTGCTGAGCTGAAGTATAGACTCTGTTCCACTTTGCTTGGAGACCTGTTTCTCTGCCCTGCTGTGCCCCAGGAAACTGCATGATTTTATTGCCAAGCTCAGAGCTCTCTCTGAAAGATGTCAGTCAGTAGCATTAGAAAATCCCAAATGAAAACTCAGGGAGCACGACCCCCAAGTCCCCATCCCTAGGAGTATCTGAGCAGATTAAAGAAAAGATGACTGAGTATCTCCTCTGATTTTGATGGTGGCAGGCAGCAAAACACCAGGGCTCAAGAAAAGCAGTTTTCAGATGTGGAAAAGATAGGCAAGGTCTTCAAGGGGCAAAACCACACTGCTGGCAAAAACTGGGTACTTACACTGTTCTTTGCATTTTCTTTCCTCCAGGAACTTCAGAGAAATCCTCATTTGATCATGGACGAAGTTAGCAGATTTGATATCATGCAAGGAGAAATAGGTAAGGTGATAATCTTGATTTGGAAGAGATCTGCACAGAGCAATAACCTGTGAGTGCTTTGCCACGTTCCAAGTGCTCACTGGGAAGATGTGGACCATGGTAGCTGCAGTAAACAGTCAGTGCAGGTCAATCTAGACTGGCACAAGTCCACACACAACTTATTGCAGATATTTAACAGGATTCCCAAATGCAGCAGCTCAAATCTTTGTTACTTTTGTCTGGCATCTGCCTTCTGTCTTTGTAAGGCCAAGCTTAGAAATGGAGATCCAGCTGAGATGAGGCAGAGGCTTCAAGTACAAGGGTCAAACACAACTAAGTGTAAGTAGGCACAGCTCCAATAGGTATAGGACTGAATTTTTCTTTCCATACTAATGTATTCATTTGACTGTCAGTGTTTTCTTTCCTGTGGAACTTTCTGTTCAACTCCTCTGATACTTACCCAGTATCAGAGTATGTATCTGCACCCTGTGTCAGTTCCATCCTGAGCTCCTGGACCATGTTTGTCTTTGGAGCCAGCTCTGCTCCTGCGTAGGAAGAAATGCCTTCCCATTTCCCACTCCACTGAGAAGTTTGAAGGTTTCCTAAAGAGTGTTCTGGACAGCAAGTCTCAACATGACTGCAAAAGATAGGAGCAGTCTGAAAGTAGAAAAGGATGGCTGGGTGGCAGCAGGGTTCCCAGTGCACATTGCTGGTGAATCCTGGGTAGTGCTTCAGCATTTTGGAGGGGGAAAAGGAGACAGAAGAATGTTGATTGCTTTTAGCAAAGTGGTTCTTAGATGTTGCAGCCCATTCTCTTTCTAAAGAGTCAGCTGTGATCCAGAACAGCAAGTAACTGACTGAATGTGCTGGATTCTTCCCTCCCCTGAGGTGACTGCTGGATGCTGGCTGCTCTGGGCTCCCTGACACTGAGAAAACAATTTTTGGAAAATGTTTTACCAAAGGACCAAGGATTCCAGGATGATTATGCTGGGATTTTTCATTTCCGGGTACGTATTCTCTGTGGTATTGGTACCACTTGAGCTTGGCTGGTTGGACTGCAAAGGGGTCCAGGCTGCAGCCCCACATCTCAACATCCTTGAATGCTTTGGTTCTTCAGTGCTGACTCCCAATTTGGAACTTTGCAGAAAATCTTGCATTTTTTTAATGATTCCTTGTGTTCCAGGTGGTGCAATTGCAATTCAGGGATTTTGATGCCTTCTTCTGAAAGTTATGACTGCAAAGGCAGCTCTACCAGCTGTTCAGATCTATTTGTGTACATATATGTTTTAGATGGCATTCTGGTGGCTGCTTTGATTTGGGCAGTCTGTTATGTCTGTCATCTCACCTGCACTATCTATTTGGGCTCATTTTCTGTTTCCCCACTTCACCTTGTCCTTTTAGCTCGTTGAAATGGCTGGAAATTACAAATCCTCAGAGGCAGATCAGAGGAACAGGCTTTTGATATTTTGAAAAGAGATTTGTTTCAGAGAGAGGAGAAAGGCTTTTTAGTAAATCTCACTTTCTACCAAGTCCTAAAATTGTCTGAATCTCCCAGGAGGGTGACTCGGGTAGCAACTGGCAGGCTCTGCTTGCTTGTATCTGAGTCAAACAAATATCTGGTGGGATTAGAAGAGCTTGCAGCACCATTAAACTCCAGAAGCTAAGCTGGATGTGGAGAAAATCAGGATAAACTCAGCCATTCCTCATCCCCCCTTATTTCACAAATCTCTTTTGTTTTATGCAGTTCAGCACCAAACAGAGCTCTGGCAGTGAAACTTCTTTGACCTCCTAGGCTCTTGTGGAGCAGCACCAGGAGGATTATCTTGTGGACAGTCTGAATTTTGTTCTGTTCCTTTGCTCCTTAGAATACCAGATGTTTCTGTCTTGGCCCATTTCCAGCATATAGTGCCACACTATATGAGATAAAGCAGCTGAAGGGACACCAGTCTGCTTAAAACACATTAAAAGAGGATGCAAGCTGGATTGTCTTTCATGGAAGCTTTGAAAAGATTAGTTAGGCGCAATCCTTAAATCTTAAGCAGTATAAATACCTTACAGTATTTGAAAATGTTTTCCCTGTCATCTCATCTGCAAATCAATGCAACTGTTTCTGGCTTTCCTTGAGCAATAAACCCCTGAGAAAGCTCCTCTGAATGGAAATGCTTCTCTGCAAATGCCTTTCAATTATTCTATCAAAGATATTTTACTGCCATCCACAGGCTAAGCCACCAGTGCTCAGTTCAGTGGAGAATTGCAAACAAGGCATATCGTATGCTAATATAAAAATTTAACTTAAAACTTTTTTCCCCACCATTTTGGAACTGGAACATGTTGCCTCTCAGGAACACAAGGGGCTGCTCCAGTGCTCCTGTACAGCACAAGTTGTTCAGCTGTAAGTCAAGGGTGTTAAGCACTGCATCAGCTGTAGTTAAGATGGGCAATGCTTTTATCTAGGAAATAATTACAGTGATGGTATTTCCCCAGGGATTAAGTTAGTCCCATGTTTGTACAGGAATCCCTTTCTCTGCCACAGAAACTGTGGTGCCTATGAGGCAGTGTGTCACTCCTTGTGACAGTGAGGAGCAGCACCTCGACTTGGGAAAATAAAACAAAAGTATTCTCTGGGGGACTGCAGGGTGTTGTTGCACAGTCCATCAACTCAGCACTGGAGGGATCTGCCCTGGGTGCTAATGTCCCTGCTCTCAGGAAGAAACTAATGAAATCTTTAAAGACCATAAATGGTCAAGACCTCAGTTTCAGGAAACATCCAAAAAGTGCTTTTTAACACCATGCAAAAGGCCCGTGATAGTTGGTTGACATGCAATTTTCTCTTTACTTGATTCCAGAATTGAATTTTTCCTAGATCCCTGTCCAGGAAGGAAAAAAGGAGGCAAAGTAACCACACAGCATTCTCCTTTTCACCATCAGGACCTTAGATGTCTTGTTTTGATCTTGAGACTATCCATTATTTTTCCTTCTCTTAAGCCCAGGAAAATAAACTCCTGGTTTAAAAGGCTTATTATAAACCTGAAAGTGAAGAACTTCCCTCTTTGCATCCTGCCTAAATAACGATTCTTGGTTTTATTTACTACCACATTCACAGCTGCAGTACTTAAATCCCATAAAGGAATATAAAGAAATTTCATGAAGCCAGAATCAAGCCCAAAAGTGATCCTCTCTGAAAGCAGGAGAACGGTGTCCTGGGGTGACTTTATGATACTGGTATCCCCAATCGTCTGGTTTATGTTATATATTAAGTTCTGCACCTTTAAGACTGGCTTTGAGAGCAAGAGAGGGGGAAGAAGAAGCGCGCAGTTTGTGTTAAAGAAAAACATCACTCCCACACATCCCGCTCCTGGACTGTGGTGTCTGCAGCACGGACAGACAGCGGGACAGAGCTTCTCTCTGGCTTTTAGTTAGTTCTAGCTAGCTGAGGTAGAGGAGTTCCCTGGACCTTTGTTTGGTTTTTTTCCCAATTTTCTTGGATCTGTGCAAGCCTGCTCTGGACTGAACACCCAGCTAAACCCCGGGAGCTCACGCCTGTGGCCCACCGGGGCCTGGGCCTCGGCACTTTCCAGCGCCGGAGGGACTGATAAGAACCTGAGCAAGCCGAGCTACACCACATGAAAAGGACTTTTCTTCCTAGATTTGCCATCCCATCGAACAGCAAGAGGTTTTATTATTTAATATTACTCAATTTCTGTTAAATAAACAGCTTTTTCCACTTCTCTCCAAGGAATTTATATATATATATATATATATATATATATATATATATATATATATATATATAATATATACCACTATATACCACTAATGCAGCAAGGGAGAGGCCTGGGTGAGGCAGAACACAAGTAGGATCAGACCTGCTTTCAGCTGAGCAGTCTGTAAGCTGCTTTGCTGCTGGGCAGATCTGGTCTTGTGCTTTTCTAGCAGAACAGCTCATTTTGGGTTTTTCATTGACCAAAGCTGTTGAAATAAAATCATGCTAGACTAAATCTATTGCTGGCATACTTCCACTAGAGTCCTTAGCATTACTGCAAATAAGAGCTTGGCCTCTTATGATTTCGAATCATGCTAAGCTACATTAATCTGCTAATGACTCTGGAAATGGCTCCTTTAGTTCATCCCAGCAGATCTCTATTCCTGTCTTTTCCCTTGAAAAGTTTCATCAGCTGGATCAGCTGGAGAAACACCTGCTCTGTCCACATGCTGGAGAGACTGCCTGTGTCCTTCTCATCCATCAAGGAGATGGATAACACCTCAAAACACTCTTTAGTCACTGCACTGTCTCTGTCCATGACAGCGTGTCAGAGTCTTAATTGAAATACAGAGGAAAGAAAATTTAGAGGCCGGATCTTGACAGAGGCTCTCTGGCCAAGAGCTGTGCAGGGAAAATCCAAGTGTGGCTGAGGAGTGAGGCTCATGGAATCCACCTGTGTTATTGTTCTTTATCTTCTTGAAATCTTTCTATTGCCCAAGAATGTTAGCATATTCCCTGTGTTGAATCTTTCCTCCTACTGATTGCAGGACTAGCTGTGCTCCCCAAGGACTTTCCCTGGCACTGGGAAATCCAGCCAGTTGGTAGCTTGATTGATAATGGGGACCACTAGCCTGAGGCAGTTCAGGAGAAAACTTGCACATATCCATGCTTTAGATTAATTCCTCTGCTGGTTCAGGAAGCTTTTTCTTTTCATGGACATTAGTGCTTGAAAGAGGCTTGTTATTTTATTTTATTTACTCTCTTTTTAAACTACATTTTTATTTTATTTATTTCCAGTTCTGGCAATATGGAGAATGGGTGGATGTAGTGATAGATGACCGGCTGCCATTCCTAAATGGAAGATACCTGTCTGTACATCCCCGAACTTCAAATGAATTCTGGCCATCCTTGCTGGAAAAAGCATATGCCAAGTAAATATGCCTGGTCTGTTCTTCCACCCAGTGCTGAATGCTTTCTGTGGTTGGTTTCACCCTCTGCTTTGTGCAAAGCACACAGGAAGGAGTTCAGGCTGACAGCTGCCTATGTGGTCCTGTCATTTATGCAAGGAGCTGTGTCTGCAGCCAACACAGACTGGAGATGTTGGCCTTGGGTTAGACCTAACTGTACCCAGCTCTGAAGGTAGCCAGCCCTAAATCTACACAGTTCAGCTCTGGGATGTTAATGCCTGAGAAGCAAAATTAGCAGGGCAATGGTTGGTGACACAAAAGGGCCTGGAATCTTCCTATTTTAGGCAAACTTTTTTGTCTCTGTTTTTCTTTCCACGTTATCCTGTTTAAGACTGCAGAGTCTAAGCAGCTGTAAACCTGTGTTTACACAGTTTTACACAGTTCTAGTGTTTTGTCACTAATCAGAGATCATGTGGACATTTGGAGCAGGCAATGAGAGGAAGCATGACTGAAGAACATGCCGAGGCACAGCACATGCACTCCTAGGACTCTCTGATCAGCTCTTACTTCACAAAGAGCTCTGACCCTTAGCTGAGGCCCCTGGAGTATGCAGGGTAAATAATGCCTAATAAAGAGATAACAATTTTTTAAAATCCTCTGGAAAGGGAAGGGATCAGACTGCGGTCCCTTGACATTTGCCCATTTCCCATTATTAAAAATGCTGAAGAAAAAGTCCTGTGTTATGGGTGGTATGAAGGGCTGGAACTTGGTACCTGATGCTGGTGTAACATCTGCAGTGCAGTGAAGTGGAGATGAAGAAAAGAGGAAATTTTGGCAGACTTGGTCAGGAATAAGGAAATTTTAAAGCAGCATGAGAGCAACTCAGGAAGAGAATGCATTTTGCCCTGAGATATCTCAGAAAAGTTGACTCAGGATTCAGTATCAATTTGCTGCATAAGGTTTTAATTACAATGCATACCAAACCTCTATTAAATTAAAGTTGCAAGCAATGCCGTTTATGAGATTCCCATTTGAGAAGTTATTCCCCAGCGCCCAAGACAAATTCTTTTCATCAGTGTAGGACAAGGACAACTCTTCAAAATACAATTAGCTGCAGACTTCATTTGATTACATTCATTAAATACAGTGTCTATGGTGGGGTTTAACAGCATGCTCTACCTGCTCTAAGTACGGCATGTTCCAGCTTATTTGCTGTCTCAATAAAAACCACACGATAAAAACAACAAGGACTGTGTTGGCAATATTAAATTATTATCCTATTATTGTGCTCTAGCAGAGTGAACTGGGAACAGTGCTGAGAACTTGTTTCTGCCATGCCCTGGAAGCATGGGTAAATACCTTCACCTCTCTTTTCCTTTTGCTCATTTGCAAAAGGAATACTGGCCATTTTTGTGAAGAGTCCTGTATAACTATGATTCAGAAACTAACAGTTCAGCTCCATTTGACCTGAAACATCCATTTGAACTAGTCACCCTTGGCTCCCTTCCTGTTCAGAAAAAAACCAAAAAAATGGATGCTTCAAGATGAGATGCAGCTCATCTCCCTAAAATGCTTGTGCTGGCATGAGATGCACCTTATTATTTTCCACTGTCTGTAAATGGCTCTGGACAGCTGCCTCAGATGGGGATGAATACATAGAAAAAGCTTTCCCTTTGTCTCATTCCTTCCACAAGACATGTGCTGTGCCTGGCCAAGTATTTCGATCACGTTTCCTTTCATTACCTGGCCACAATGTCTGCACACCCCGGGCTCCCCTGGGCTCACCACCTCAATGCACACGCTCATTTTTAAAGCAAGCACTGTGCATTGTTTATGAAAACAGTGTAAGGACTAATTAACTTCTCTCTTTTTTTTTTTACTTTTTTATTTTTGGTTTTTTTTTTTTTTTTTGTATTTTAAAAATTGTTCCATAGGCTGCGGGGCTCCTACCAGAACCTGAATGGAGGCTACCTTTCAGATGCTTTAGTAGACCTCACAGGTGGAGTCCAAGTGCAGTTTTCATTGAAGGATCCACCTCCTGATCTGGAGGAGATCCTGAAAGCAGCTGACAAATCTCGGTGCCTCATGGGGTGCAGCACCTCAGGCCAGGTGAGTCACAGGGCTGGTCACATGCCTGTCTCCATTTACTGTGTTGGCACAAAGGTGGCTCTTTGGAGGGGAAAAGGAAGTCCATACAGCAACTGTAAAATTTATGGGTTTATGGGTTTATGGGTGCCTGAAGGGATCTTGGCAGCAGAAAGGTTTTCCGGTAAGGAATGTAAAGGCATTTGGGCAGATGTAGATGGACTGGTCTGATGGAGAGGGGGCTGTGGCATCTCTCCTGGCTAATTCCACTGCAATAGAATGGTGTCCTCTTGCAGCAGGCCTGATTTCAGCCTCGTAACTTTGTGATCAACACTGGCAAGGCCAAAACACACCTCTCTTCTGATGTAATGATTTCATTGTGGCTTGCAGGCATACTGGTATTAATGCAGGGAAGTTGCAAAAGGCTTTGTGATAGCGAGTACCTTTGATAAAATGTCTCCAAGGCTTCCCTTACAGCATGTGACATGTGACTGCAAAGTGTGTGACACTGCTCCTGTGGTGCCTACTTCCTCAGGACAGGAAGCTTCACTGCTGCAAACAAGCCAAAGACTATTCCCTCAGCTCAGGGAATAGGCTGAGAGTGGCAGGAAAATTTGGCAGTCCCGCAGTCTGACAGCAAGCCACCCAGTCCAGGTCATTCTGCAGTTGCAGCAGCTCTGGACCATAGAAGAATTTGCAAAGAAGTGTAGATTTGTTAAATTTCCTGCTTTGCTGATGGCTGCAGTGGGAACAGTCACGCTCCTGTGGAGTATCTCAGTATCTCACAGCAGTGCTGCTGTGAGGCTTTGTTTAGTGCTGTGGCAAGTGACAGTGCTGGGAGCTGCTGACTATGTCCTTACAGTGTGGCAGAGAGCTAAAAGCTGTGCTTTCTCCCTTCTGCAGTCAAGGAGAAACATAGAGCTGAGGAATGGGATTGTACAGGGTCATGCCTACACTGTCACAGGAGCTGTGAAGGTAAGATCAGAGACTTGTTCCTGCCTGGACATCTTGTACTGACCATCCACAACAGGGAAGTTGTGCTGCAGTTCCAGTCAGAGTGATTTGAATTACCCTCACACTTAGGGAGCATTGTTGAAAAGGACATAGTTCAAATTCCAAGAGATGGAAGGACTCTGGCACAATGAAAGGAGGGAGGATATCCGAATCCATATTGTTTTCTAATGGAAAATGCAACTTAAATTTACTTTTGTTTTGGGACACTTCAGCAGAAAATACAACGTTTCTGGAGATTTTCATTCCATGCTGACTCTTAAAAAATGTGCTTTTGTGTTTCAAATGTAAGTAGAAGCACTGCCTGAAATTGTGGGATTTGTCATGTGATGCAAATCTACATTTGTTCAGCTCAATCACAAGCTGCCAAAAATCGCTGTGTGAAAAGTAAATCGCTGGTTCAAGAACAGCGTTTCTCCATCTTTTAAAAGCTGCTGTACTCATGCAGAACTGCTCCTGGCTGAATATTAATACTGGTGATCTGAGAACCAATTTATCACATGGATCAAAAGAAATTAAGGATTTTTTACAGCCAGAAGTCAGAACATGGCTTAGCCCAGTAAGCTGTAGTGCACACAGGGAGAGTTAACACTGAAGAGGGAAACCAAACAATAGCTATGCTGTCAAGCAAGATAGCTACGAAACATTTGAATCTTGGAACCTAAAGTACTTTGGAAAGGGGATGTTGCTTTCCCTAAGGTATGTTCTCCCTTATCCCTCTCTCTCTCTCTGTTGGTTTTCTCTATGAGCTTGGCTTTGGTTCATGTCCCCTCGTGCCATGGCATGCTTGGTGCTATTATCACAGCCAGTGTGCTGCTTCTTGGAGGACACATTCTTGTAGCCAAGGAGCTACTAAATGGAAAGATGGGGTTGCCAAGCTCCAGAAAAGGCCCCAGCTGTCTCTTTGCAGGGCAGGGGCAGAAGGGTCCCTAATTCTGTTGGAGGAGAAGGCAGGCTGTTCCAGCCTCCTGCTGCTCCTGGTGTGTGCAGAGAGGAGGAACACTCTTTGTCCCACTTAAAGAAGTGCCAGGACATCCGAGGCATTGTGCTAAGGGGAAATGATTGGAAGCTGGGCCTTTGCCTGGGAAGAGACTGCCATGGTATTGTTTCCAACACCACCTGTGTGCATAAGGAGAGCCCAAAAACAAAGGTTTGCTTCTCCTTTCCACTTCCACCATTTTGGCTTCATTGGCAAGAGTTAGTTGCTTCTGACTTAAATCAGTGGCAGCAAAAGGAGGAAAGCACCAGACACCCCAGTTGTTGCAAACCACAGTATTGTAGCCACAGACCCACATTCTGTTGTCAGCTCTCTGTGCTGTCTGTTGGCTTTCACTCCAGGTAGTCTGGTGACCTCGTTCCTCAAAGTCTCTGCCTTTGCTGACTCACAGCATCAGATGTGCAGAATTAGGCACTGGAATTTCCCAAGGCTGTTGAATTCATGCAGTGTGACAGGAATGCTGCTGCTTCTCTCTGTGTCAGCTATTCACTATCCTCAGGAAAGCAAAATGGGTGCAGTTTTCTCTCACACATCATTCCTTTGCAATGTAGCAGAAGGCACTGATTTTTCGCTGCTGGGAAAATGAGATCAGATGTTAAATCTAGTCTCTGAGTGTAGAGGAAGTTCCATTTTCTTACCCTTCTCTTCACTGAATATCACAATTGTGAAAAACTGTGACTGGGTTTGTTTTTCTTTCATCTTTACAGGTCCCCTACAAGAATGGCTGGAAACATATCGTCAGGATCTGGAATCCGTGGGGCCATGGGGAGTGGAAGGGACCCTGGAGTGATGAGTAGGGTCTTAAAGCTTTAATGTCATAGGAAATCAATAATTTTTTATAAGAATTCTTTTATAAGAACTTCTGCCCCACACCCATTTTAACAAAACAAATATTTCCAAATCAGCTAATTAGAAGCATTATTTCCATCTGCATAGCGGCTGCTTGCAGAAATACAGCCCAGGGAACACTAATGCAGCCTTGCTAGGCTCAGGTGTCCCTTCTTGTCTGTGTATGCATTTTACCCAGTGCAAAATGCTACAGAAGTCATGGATGAAAGAGTTCTTATTTCCTGGAGTAAGCTCTGACCATGTCCTTAGATGCTGGCTGGCTGCTTCTGTGGAATTCTCCTGCAGCAATCACACATCCACCTTTCTCCTGTTTCTCCTGCTCTCATGAGTCTTACTCTACAAAGAGGATGGTTAGATGGGTCCATGGAGCAGGGCAAAATTGAACACAGAGGGCCAGAAAGGCTCCTTGGTTATCCCAAAGGCAAAGTGCCAGAGAATGGCTTGAACTTTTGGATCCTTCATGCAGCTTTGGGGGGATGCAAGGACCACTTTGCTGCCTGTGTGGATAATCTAACATATTTTTCCTAGAGAAAGGAATGACATAGACTGCAAGAGTGTTTTTTAGATAAATAGATTGTAGTTTTCCTTTTGGAATTGCATCAGTGTTTCCACGATTAGAAAGATGTTCTTGTGACACTCTTAGGTTATTTGATAGTGTCCCAGCCCTCCCTGTTGCTAGGACCACACACAAAGCACTCTGCTGAGAAAAGTCAGGCTGGAGTGTTGTGTCTGGAAGGGTTGGTGGGTTGTGCAGAGGTGTCTGAGGCTGGAATAGCTGCTCTCTGCTCTGGCAGCATCCTCCCACCCTTTTGCAACGGTGAACTACAATCCTAAGTGTAATTGAAATGTCAGTAGCACATTCCCAGGTAACCTGCACAGATCAATAAATTATTGATTCACGTGCTGTTTATTTATCTTAAACTCTGCAGAAAGTACAATTATCACTTAATTATAAACACTCTGCTTGGAAACAAGTTTGACTGGGTAATGTGCTCTCTACAGGTCAGTGTAATATCAGTGCTTCAGAGCACTGAGCTTGGTTCCTCACTAACCTCTCCAGCACTGGGACAGGTGACAGCAGGGAGGGTTCCCCACCCCGGGGTGGGCAGCTCAGGCATAGCAAAGGCACAGAGTTTTATTTGCTGGCCTTGGCTATGAAGGTATCACACAGAGTCCTGTTTCCAATGAGCAGTTTGTTCACCCCTCCTGATCCCTCATGACCTGACAGGTTGGTTGGAGGAAAAGGCTGAAGATGAAAAATTGTGCCTCACATCTTGTTGATTTGTTCTTTTTTGCAGCTCTCCTCAATGGGACCGCGTTGAGCCTAAATACAGAGAAGCCCTACTCAGAAATAAGGATGATGGAGAATTCTGGTATTTCCCTATTGTTCCTTTGCCTACTTGGTTTTCTGTTTGCCTTTGTTATGAAAAAAGTAATTTTGGCAGATCCCTGTTCTTGGTGGTGGCTCAAGGCACCCTGTGTTAGCTGTGTGCAAACAGCTCATTGGAGATTGTCCTGACCCTGTGGTTTCAGAGGAAACAAGACCTGAAAAAATGGAGTTGGCCAAGATTAAGTGACAAGCTGACGAAAAAAAAATGAAAAGTGAGAGAAGTAAAAATCCAGCCCTCTGATGCCTGGTCATTTTGTCACACTACCTCTCATAAAGCGTGTGGTTTGAACCTTGGACTGACAGATGCTGAAGGGGACAGCTGGCTAAGCAGGTCACTGAGCTTGTGCACTTAACTTCTCTGCAGGTGCTTGTGGTTTTTCACTGCCTCTGGTTGCTCTCAGATACAGCTTAGCCATGCATGGGCTGTCCCTTAGAAAAACTGATTATTCAGAAAGTGCACACATGCCCTGTGGGGCTCTGAGGAAAGCAGGGCAACAGCAGGTGGGTCTGAAATACACACTTGAGGTTTGAGTGAAGCATGAGCGTGGGACAGAACACTGTGGAGGTACAAAAGCTGGAGGTGGCAGGACAGGGCTCCAGCAAGATACCCCAAACATGTCCTGTGGTTTACCCTGGGCATTAGGGGCAGTTAGGGCAGCTCAAAGTGCATTGAGAGCTGAGCTCTTCTGCAAGGTATAGCAGCCAGCAGAGCTGCAGGTGCCTGCAGTGCTCTCAGCAATCCCTTTTTAAAGGCATGGGGTGCATGTGGATACCTAACTGGTGTCTTCACAGAATCACAGGTCAGGCACAGGGTTGTGATGATTGTGGAATACTCCAGTGAGGGACACTCCTCAACCTCTCTGGGAATCATGTTCCAGCATGTGGTCAGTTGCACAGTAAAGAAATTCTTCCTCATATTCAGGTGGAACTTCCTGGGCATCAGTTTCTGCCCATTGCCTCTGATTCTATTGATTTGCATCACCAAGCAGAGCCTGGTCCAACCTCTGACACCCTCCCTTCAGATGCTGACATTGATGAGGTTCCCTCTCAGGGCTGAACAGCCCCAGCTCCCTCAGCCTTTCCTCAGAAGGGAGATGCTCCAGTCCCTTGATCATCTTCATAGCCCTCCACTGGACCTGCTCCAGGAGCTCTGTGTCTCTCTTGTACTGAGGAGCCCAGAACTGGACACAGCACTCCAGATGTGCCTCACCAGGGCTGAGCAGAGGGCCAGGATCACCTCCCTCATCTCCTGGAAATTTTCTTCTGTCTTCAACTGAATGATGAGATTTTCCTCCTTCTCTGCAGGATGTCCTGTGAGAACTTCCAGGAGCAGTTTTCATGGCTGTATATATGTAACAATACCCCAACATTTCTGGACTTTGGAGATGAGCACTACACAACGTGGTCTCTGAACAGCTACACCAGCCTGTGGAGCCCAGGCCTTCCCACGAGGAGGAACCGCTATTCCCAGGGTAATGGATGCTCAGTACCCGGTCATCTCCTCCTCTCACTGATGCTTACAGTGAAACATTCACTCTGAGCACCGAATTGCAGAAGTATTGATTGCCAGTTGTTAATGCCTGCCTTTCCCCATTACAGCACTTATCAGCTAAACAGGCAGAAACAAAGCAACAGCACTGGCTGCTGAGTTAGAACGGGAGACTTGTGATTTAGGAACCCTGGACTCTTTAAGTCAAAATGAGCTTGTAAATCTTCTTTCAGCCAGTTGCAGTAGGTGTTGCTGGGGACCTCATCAGATAGCCTGGTCTGGCAAATATGCTGTTGATTTTACAGAGCAAAAAAGTACTCTGAAATTAAATGGATATGGAATGAAAAAAATGTGCTACAAAGCTCTATTTTTTAAGGTAAAAAGGTCTTTGGGCTGATAAGACTGGTGGTTTTACTGCCTGTGCAAGAACTCTTCTGGCACTGTAAGCTCCAATCAGTAGTAGTATATTTTTACATTTTTATCTTATCTCACTTTTTTTTTTTTTTAGAGCTGCATCAGTATTTGGGCTTTGTGTTTTTAATCTAGCATGGTAATATCTGATCAGTGAAGAGGCTTGACTTCAAAAGCCTTGACCTAGCAGCAAACAGGTTTTGTCTTACAGATTTCAGGCCCCTGCTCCTAACCTGATCACCAGGTCTCAAGGTGTGGTAACAAAGCAATGTCTGTGCTGCTGCACACCACAGTCACTGGGACTGGGCAGGGAGATGCAGAGGCTGAACTGAGAGTGTGCAGGCAGAGCCATTTTCCTTGGAGCTGCGTTTTCCAACAGCCCTCCAGTAAAGTCCCTGTCCAAGTACAATCGTTCTAATTTGCAACTTTCAGAGCCACCCAGCACAGGGAGCTGGCTTAAATTCTACTCTACTGCCATCTCAATACTTTTTTCCCAGTTTGGGCACTTCATTGTTTGTTTTTTTTTTAAATCAGGAATGCTTCCTGTTAATGCCTTGGCCAAGAAGCAGCTGTTTCCCTCTGGTGCTTGACATTCTGTCTGTCCATCACAAACATCAGCAGAAGGGGGAGGAGAGGATAGCTTTGCACCATTTTGTCCTTTTCTGTGTGTTTAATCTCAAAGCCACAGTCCTTTTCAGCTCAGCCTCTGGGTCAGGTGCCTGATTGTGAGCCACTGCTTTTCTGCTGCTGGGAAAGTGTGCCATGTAGGTGAAGCAGATGGGGGGGGTTTGAGAAATCCACACGACTTCTGTGACTTTGCCAGAGATTTCTAAAATGACAAATGTGCAATTAGTTTACCTCCAGATGCCTCAGCTTCTGGTGCTAGTGTGGAGACTCGAGTGCTCTGTTGTATTGAAAGGATCTTGGAGCAGTGACTGCCTGTTCCTCTGGGTCCACACAAGCAAGATTTTACACAATAGGCTGGAACATCTCTGTGCCTGCTGTTAACCTATTAACACTTTCTCAGCAGGTGCAGCTTCAACAAACCCTCAGTATTTTTTCAGAGTTCTAGATCACAACCCAAAAACCTATAATGTAGCGATTTCACTCATGCAAAAACACGCTGAGCATGTGCAGGATGAAAAAAACCTGAAGATTGGCTTCTTCATCACCACGGTAAGCACAATCAGATGTCACGTAGGCACTGTTGTTCTCTGTGTGCTTTATTTTACCTGTATGTGGGAGTGAAAGACTGAATTGCCTTTTGGTCTTTTTAAAAGTCAGTATGTGGTGTGAATTTCTGGGTGCCTTCCATTGTAGAAACTCAGAGTAAAAATAGAGTCTAGCAGGCTTAGTTTCTTTTATTCATGTCTTAAGGAACAAAGGTGGCACATTTCTTTCAGGGCAGGAACAGCCCTGGGAAACTCAGGGAGTCCTGGGTTAGAAGATGTGCCAGGGCAATATCCTCTGTACAGCAGTACTGGTGACATGCCATGCTGGCTGGGCAAGAGGCATGACAGCCAGCACTAGCCACAGCCCTCGAGCAGCATTCCAGCTACAGTAGGGAAGCAGATGGTCTCTCGTTCCCCAAAGTGGGCCTGTCTTACTCATCCTCCTGTTTTCTATCTGAAAAGCTTTGTAGAAACATTTACAAAACACATGAGAGCCTTTGCTCGAGACCAGTGTAGAGGAAATCCACTCAGATACCTGGGACCTGCACTACAATTTCTCTGGGCTTTTTTCTTGGTGACTGTCCAGAGAGGTGCCTGTTCAAGGTATTCTCAGAGCACTACAAGGCTTACTGAAAGCACAGTTGCTAGTGTGGATGGATGCTAACCCTTCCCAAAGTATTTTTGTTGTTGGCTGATGACTGTGGGAGGCTATTCTTTTAATCCCAAAGACTAAAAAGGAAGCAGGGATTGCTATAACCCTAATTTCTTCTCATTCTTCTCATTTCTGGAGAGGTTTGTTCTAGTCCCAGACTTTAAATAATTGATGCCGTGAGTTTAACAGCTCCTCATAAAGGGAGAGCATGGCTTTGTAGCTCATAAAAAAAGTGTGTCTGAGAAATAAAAGATGTCATTAAAAGGGCATCCCTCCAGCAAGTGGAGCTCACTATCTCTATGGGAGGATATCCTCTGCCCTGTGTGGGTATCGAGCCTGCAGGATTGGGCCAGCTGTGCCTCTGAGAAAGAGTTCCTGCTCCTGGTAAACAGGGAATTTATCCTTCCAGCATCCCCAAAAGTCACCAGATATGGAGGTCTCTGTGTGTACATGCACGATACACGTCCACCTTGATTAGTTACTCATTTTAGGAGAAGTGACCTTCACTGGGAGGTCATGATATAGGTCTTGGTTCCCTCAAAAAAGGGGTTATTTAATCAGGAAGCAGACTAGGAGACAGATTTTCTCTATTCTTTCTTCATATTAAAATTTTTTTTCCCCTCCAGTTGATGGTCAGGTGTGTTTTCTCTCTCTTGGTATGAGATGGACCAAGGATGGATGACCCTCAATAAGTTTGTCCAGCCTGGATGAGGTGGCCTCTGTGGGCTGTCAGCCCATAGCTCACCTCAGGCTCCCCTTGGGCTCAGGTCACTTGGGTTCCTGACCTTAGGAGTGATCTCCTACACAGGAGCTGAAGGGCAGGGCCAGAACAGAGCATTACTGGAGACACCTGGATTACTGAGGAGCACCTGGGCAGTGAGGGCAAGGGAACAGTTAGGCTGCTCTGTCACACCATCGCTTTTATTAATAGAAACAATATTATACAGGTGCATATTCACACAGAGGACTATACAGACAACATTCCCTCATAGACACACATGAAGTATTTTAATATGGGAGCCGCTCTACCAGCTCCTCACAGCCAGCCTGGTGTCCTGTCCTGGTAGAAGCAAAAGCCAAGTCCAGGAGCTAAAACCAGAGTGGGTGTGCGTGCCATTCCTTCCGTTTATTTCCCAGTGTTCAGCCTCAGTGCCTGAGGACAGTCAGAGCATCTGTGGGTAAAAGTTTACAGGGGGTTTCTTTGCACAGGGAGAGTGCAGTTGGCAAGATTCATGTGGCTTCACTCTTCCTCCCTGATCCGCTTTCTCTGCCATGATTCATTAGCAGCATCATCCTGGCTGTTCTGTACCTTTTGAGACACATCAAAATGTTGCTGTGAAGTAAAAGGAGTATTACCCCTTGGCAGGATGAGAGCAGAATGCAGTGCAGGCAAGGATGCAAACCAGAATGGACGTATCTGATAGCTCTAGGAAGCCTTTGATTAAATATAGACGTGGAACACTAATACATGGCTGTGAGGGAAGTTTAATGTTGTGTGATAGAGCTGAGAAATGTATAGAGGCTGATTCTTATCTCACACCGGTTTTGATTCTGTTGAGATATTAATCTGCTTCTGCTTTTTACCAGAAGGAATGTGGAATAAGGCTCAAAAGTGGGGGAAGAAAAGTATTACACCATTTATTTCTTTGCAGCACTGCCCATTTCTATCTGCTCAAGATCTGACCCATAATACTTGGCAGTCTGTGTACCTCCCAGCCGTCTGTAACAGTAGTCATCCTATTTTTTTTTTCCTTCCAAAATAGCAGTTTTATGTTATTGTCTCCCAAAGGCATGGCTCATAAATAACTCTGCCACGCTGTATAACCATTCTAAATGGAATTTATACACTCTGATATATTTTGGGGAATATGTTAAGGAAGGGTTTTTTATTATGCTATCTTTACATGTCATCATAGTAATAGCTGTTGCATTATATTTGTTTCATCTCAGCAAAAAAATACTGGAATAACAGATGAAAGATCAGAACACTCGGTTTTCTTGTGACACTTGCTGGCTTGGATTGGGGTTCTTGAAGCATTGTCATCTGGGTGACATGCTTAGAGGGCTCTCTGACCCCTTTGAGTCACAGAAGATCTCAGGGAAATTTTTAGTAATAATATTCCTCCTTGATTCCTTCGTGAACTCTGCTTAATGTTAATTGAAGTTCTCTTCAAATCTCCTTACATTAATTTTGGCTTCTGCTTCTTTCAGTTCCTCCACCTTTGAGCAACTTTGATATGTCCTTGAAAAAAGTCTGTCCCCTGGATGGGCTTTTCAGGCCCATGGAGAGGTTGAGGAGTGATAGATGCAGTGTGCATTCAGAGGGGTGTGGGAATGGAAGGCTGCTGGGAGTGTGCTTTCTGATTTACTCTGCTTCCTAGCAGGAAGACAGACAGCTGTATTTTTCTTTCAGGAGAACTCCAGAGTTCTGAAGCAAATCTTTATCCGGAGCCGAGATGTGAGCAGCTACTTTATCTTGAGCCCAGGAACCTACGCCATTGTTCCTGCTGCAACAGCGGACCAGGAATTCAAATTTCTCTTACGAATTTTCATAAAGAGTCAAGACTACAATGAGTAAGATGATACACACTCCTTAAAGGCCCCTGACTCACAGCCTGACAGGAATTAACTATTTAATGTCAAGACAACTGATGTGGCAATTTGCTTTTAGTGTATCCTTGGAGGGTGGGGAAGGCACAGAGGAGTGTAAAGCACCTGTTGAGGGGGATCAGTCCTGCACTGCAGAGCAGGGCAGGAGCTCATCTGCAGCCACCAAGGGTCTCAGCTTTGGTACAAAGAGCCACACAAGGGAACCATAATTGTCAGATATGTCCTCGAACCCTGATTGTGGGAACATTTCTCTTTGCTGAAAGAAGGATTGTGAGCTTGATTTCCCTTATTCTGAACAGCTGTTCAGTAGTTTATTATGTTCTGCTGGCTGGATGCCAGATGGACCACGTCCCATTCTGCTCAGAGTGGGACCTGGAGAAGCCAAGAGCAGTGAAAGGCCTCGATCCTTTCACTCAGCCACCCCATAGACAGGCAGGGCTCCCTGTAGGCATGAGAGCAGCTTTGGAGATAAGTTCAGTGGAAATATGGTATCTGAGTTCATGCAAAGGCAGCTATTACCACACACACACGTTGACATTACCACGTGAATATTTGGGTGTGGTTTACTCCAGGTAAGCAGGCTGTGAGTCCCAGCATTCACCAAATGACCTGCGAGCATCAGCTGTGCAGTGCCTTCAGCAAGCTTTAGAGTGGATGTGATTGCAGCTCTTACCTCACTGGCCCATATCTTAATAATGAGATTGCTTTCCAGGCTTTGGCCCCTGGCAAAAATAGCCCAGAACCAACTGAGGCAACTCCTGAGTTATGGAGAGCAAACACAAGGAGTCCGTGCTGTGGGCTGGACTGCCTTCAGCAGGGTGAGTCACGTGTGAGACAGCTCAGCCCTGGAACTGAGCTTTTCAGGAGCCTCTGACCTTCACAGACCTTCCTGAGCTAGGCCAGGTGTGGATGTGACCTTCCAGTGAGTCTTTGCAGCACTTACCTATACAGATGTTATAAAAATAGAACCTGGCTTGTCTAATTTCTCTGCCACAAGCAGAACTCAAGTACTGAATGTGGCTGACAAGTGTGCCTTAGAAACAGTGACCCTGGCCCAGTTTCAGGCAGTCTGCAGACATTTAGATGTTGCCTTTTAATAGCCCAGATGCTGGTTTTATTCCTGACTGTTAAGTTGGGCAAAGAGAAAGGAGGTGAAACATTTCTTTGGCTGAAGGCAGGGCAGCCCTGTATTCTGCATGGTGAGGTTAGTCCTGGCGTGCTCAGGGTGAGACAAGCTACCCTTTCTCTGCTGCTGGTGCCAACAGAGCTGGCTTGGGGAAGGCAGTGGCCCCAGAGAAGCTGGAGACTCGGACCTGTCTGTGCCTGTTTGCACAGAGAGGCCCAGGACTGGTGCAGCAGCCTTGTCTGAGCTGGGCCATGGGTGCTGAGCATCTTGTGGGGCTGTGGGCTGTGTGAGTGCTGCTGGTGGTGCCTGCCTTCTGCCACAGCTGCAAATCAGTGCTCTGGAAAGGCCTCTTTTCTCCCTGTTTGATTCTTGTAACTCTTTTCTAGGAACTCAAACTCCCCCACCGGCTCAGTACTGCCAATGGTAAGAGTCTGAAAACTGGTGAAGGTGCTGATGGTGATCATTTGGTCACCTTTACTGACTCCTCTTCACCTGCTTTTTTCTCCCTTTACCACCCACTACTGTCCCAGAGTTTGACTCTGGCACCCTGCAACTTTGCTGGCCACCTCTCTAGATAGATGGGAGTGACAACAAAGCCCTTCCTCTTCTCATGTCTTTTTCAGAGCCTGATTTTTGAGGAAACAGGTCTTATACAGTCCCTTTGTCAGCCTGTCCATCTGTCCTTTTCACCTCACCATCTTTAACACTTTGGCAAACCAAATATAGGAGGGGAGAGAGCACTTAAAAGCTTCTAAATTCTTTCAGTGTCTGTAAGATGTATATCTTTGGGGGAGAGAGAGAGAAACTTAATTCCTGTGAGTGGGATTGGACATGCCTTCTCCATGGGAATGATGTAATTTAAGTGCTTGGACCCTATAAAGCACAGGAGTCTATAGGGATGAAACTCAAATCAGATTTCTGCTTATTTTCATCAGGATGAAAGAGACAGAGACATAAAGCAAACTGCACTTTGAAACTGGCTGCATCTCTAGTTCAATCCACATATTTTCTTCTCCAGCCCAGCTACTGTGGGTTTTTTGACTTGCTGTGAGCTGTGCACATTGCCAGGGCTGGTCCAGTCCTGCTAGTCCCACCAGCAAAACCCTGACACTGAGAGGCTGCTATCTACAGCCTTCAAAGACACAGATCTTTGAAGCCAGAGGTGAGAAGCTGCTTCAGGAGAGCAGAAAACAGCCCCTTCCTTATGACTCATTTTCCAGAACACAATTAAGCCCCATTAGAGGGGTAGTGTAAATGGTGACTTTTTATCTCTTTCCACTGACAAGCTGTCAGTTTACCTGACTTTAGTCCTTAGTCAATGTTTTGACTTTGATGAATTGTAGTACCCACAGTTTCTGCTCCTGTTCAGGTATTTGGGCTTCTTTGGTATGAAGTATCTCACACAGAGATGAAGACATTGGGTCTTGGGCTTGGATTTTTTTTTCTGAAAACTTTATAATGTTAAGGATAATTCCCCTTAAAGCCAGGTAGATCATTTCACTGGAAGGTTGAAAAAAATCACATAACCATTGAATTGCAATTGCTCAGGTATAGTCCAAGCTTATCTTGGGGTTGTGAAGGTACAAGAGAAAGGAAAAGTCAACTCATGCTCTATTTTCTTGGTTCACATGAATCTCCATGTGCCCTGAGCAGTGGTCCCAACCAAGGTCCGCTAATAAGGATCAGGCTTTGTGTCTCTATACTGAAGTACTGACTTGCTGAATTCCACCCTGGATGTGTTCTGTCATCTTCCTTAGGCACTGAACTGCTCCTTCCTGGTTGTACTAACTGCTGACATCTGAAATATGTTGCTTCCTTCATTGCAGTAGCAGTTGCTCATTCCTAGTTGACTTTATTTTGGGGGTGTGAAAACTGCAGCCTGTGCTGTACATTCCCTGCCCCTCTAAAGTGTTGCTTGGATTAGCAGACTTTTGCCTCCAGTTGTTTTGTAGCTGAATTATTTATGTCTGCTCTTTGTTTTTGATGCAGGATGTATCAAGACAGAACCAGGACAGCTCCTATAAGGCTCTTTTCCTAAGATATGCTAAGCAGGTATAATCTCTAAAACATATTGTTGAAAAAAAAATAATAAAAATATGACATCTGGAGTTGAAAAAAAGAAAAACTGATCTATGGTGTTGATACAAATCCATTTAGAATTTTTTTTTTTTGAAATGTAGCTTCATCCTCAAGTGGATACCCTGAAAATGGTATTGATTGACCTGCCAAAACCCCCAGAAATATGGGACATTCAGCTGGGATAGATTGTGTAGTGCTATATATATCAGTGGACTATTGGAGATTTATAGTTATGCTGGTGATGGGCTTGCATGTGTACTTTCTTCTTTTTTTT